CAACTTCACCTCCTCCATCCCCCGTCCCGTACCACTTTTCATCCCTACCTGCCATCCTCTTTCCACTCAACTTTCGCCACCTTGTCGCTTTCTCCGTTCCTGCCCCGGGAGTGATAGCTCAGGGCATCAACTGATGTCACTGCAGTGCCTCTGACTGGGAGGTCCTGTGTTCGAGTTCCGACGGTAGCAGGTAGCAGGACTAGCTTGTCAGCTAGGTCGAATTCAGTCGCTGTCTGGAAGAGAATTCTAGCGGCCGGCTGCTCTGATCGGTAATTTTCCGTGGTTTCTCCGATCAACGCCAGGCGAAAGCCGGAGCAGTACCCTAACAAACAGGACACGGATTGCAAGAACATTCGTTCGCACCTCTTCCTTGCCCTACCTCTTACACGCACTTACTTTAACATGCACTACACTACCACATATGCTGGGAGATTGGTCGGGAGCTAGAGTATATCCAAGCTGGGGCGGTGCCCCTCTGGTGGGAGATACTTTTTTGGGGAAAACCTCGCTAGCCGACGGTAGGGCCGCGCTGGATCTTGCACGGGAGATACAGCAGGGGAAGACCACCACTTCTCTGAGCAAAAATATATACTACACTTAAGGAACTAGTAGTTGACGCGCCCGGAATCACTGGCAATCATCAATCTATCAATTCTTCAAGATCCCGCTTTCTTCAAGTCCTTGTCCGTACCGCCAAAGGTGGCTCATCTGATGTCACTGCAGTGCCTCCGACCGGAAGGTACAAGAAGTCGAGTCCCGACGGTGGCAGGACACTAAGTTGTCAACTGAGTCGAGTTCAGGCGCTTGCCTGGAGGAGAATTCTAGCGGTCGGCTACTTTCATTGATAGTTTTTGATGGTTTCTCGTATCAAGACCAGGCGAACGCCGGAGCCATACCCTAACTTAACAAACGGACCACGAAACGCGCGCGATCTTTCTTTCTACTTCTCTGTTCTCTCTCATCCTTTACTTACATCGACTACACTGCCATACAGGTCGAGAGGCCAGTCAGGAGCGTAGAGTTTGCCCTGGCTGGGGCTGTGTGCCGCTTGTGGGAGATACCTGGTTGGACAAAATCACTGCTAGCTAAAGATATAGATTGGAGCCTGATCTCACCATTCAGCAAGGGAAGATCACAGTCACATCCTCTGGAAAGGACATGCATTGCATTTACGGGATTTTCATTCCCGGTTCGTGCCTCTGCCCAGTTACTATTCCTGTTCCTGTCACTATCCCCGTCTCTGTTACCGTGTCTCCATCGCATCTTCATATCTGTCCCCGTGTGCGCCTCTGTATTCGCCTCTGTCCGTTTCCGTCTCCAACCCTTTCTCTGTCTTCGTCTTTGAACGCTATTCCGTTTCCGATCACATGCTCGTTTCGCTCTCCGTTCCCAACCCCATCACTGTATTCGTCTCCTCCCCGATTCTGTATTTTTCCCCGTCTTGGTTCCCGTCACTGTCTGCTTCCTGGCCCTACCTGTGTTCCTGTCTCTATCGCCGTTCTCGTTCTCCCCCCGTTTCCCTCTCCCGTCTTCGTGACCCACTCTCCATCGTGCACCCTACCCCCGCAGCCTCTACCAGTTCCACGATGCTACCACCTCCGGGGCTTCAGTCTACTGCATTAACTCCATTTTCAGCCACCCCCTAGGATTTTTCATCCTCTCTTTCAAGCTGAGCTGCACTTGTCAATTGTGTTACTGAATTTGTCCCGCTCTGAGTGAATTTTGCTCGTTTGCTCTATTATATCCGATACTTGATAGTCATGAACCTATTTGGTTGTTTCAAAGGCTGCTATTGCATTCCCTGCTGCAGATGATTCACTCTTCAAAATGAATAGCAGACGTTAGATAATTAAATTCCAAATATATGGAGTGAGGACTACTTGAAACAATAAATTTTCAAATGCGTGTTAAGAACTCCATAAAACTATTTTAAAGCTCTGCACTTCCTATATTTTTTTAAGAAATGCATAACTTATTACTATAGCGTTCCCTTCTATTATCGCATAAAATAAACACAGGGAATACCTTTTTTGTAATTAAATTTCAAATACTTCTGATTTATGGTAATTAATACGTATAATGTTAAGTCCGATTTCAATTCATTTTTGCCAATTATATTTCTCCACCAATTACATTTTCATTTTTCCAATTATATTTTCTCTGGGAAAGCTGTACTTGAATAATGAAAATATATAGCAGTAACTGATATTGACAAAAATGAGAAAACCGAGAAGAAATTAATCAAGAATGATTATTACCAAACGCATTAGTTTCTCGCAATTCTTAATAACATGATTCGAATATCCTACAGAGTTCTTACTCAAGCCCAGAGCGGGCCACAGCCCGGCTCCCCGCATCCCCCATGGGCGCGCCCGGAAACGGCCTGTAGATGCGCAGCGCGCACCGGGGCCCCCGGGCCCCTGCACGTCCCCCCTCCCGCGCGCTGCGCCCCCAGCGCCGGAAGGGCCCGCGGGGCCGCGCCGGGCCGCCCATTCAGCGCGCAATTGGGCGGGCAGGCGCGGGCGGCGCGGCGCCTCGAGGCTCCGGCAGCACCCCCCCCCACCACCACCACCACCACGACTGGACACGCCCCCCACCCCCGCGACGCGCGTCACCACTGCCTGGTGGGAGCGGCGTCGCGAGGGAAACACTCCGTGTTGACGAGGGAGGGCTTTTTGTATGCAGTTGCAGCCAATATGTTGCACGAAAGTTAGGGAAACGATGGTTATTCGTTCAAATTACGCACAGAAAATTGCCAATCTTAGCTGAATAGCGTTAAAAAAATTCCACTGTACGTGCGCTAATATTCAATGGCAACTGTACTCCTATGAAACTCAATCTTTCGCAACGTTTCCTTCTATGCAATCGGATTACACATTAATTCACTCTGGTTGTATGGTTGGTTGTTGGTGGTTAGTTGGTTGTGTCTGGTTGTTGATCGAGTATATGCCACCATAGTATATTCAAAAAACTGTCCTTTTGCCAACTTTGTGTGCTGTCTAATCGAGGTAGTACGCCCCATGAAAATGCGGTCAAGGTTCTCACAGTCCGAAGCGCCTGCGTCAGTTATGTGAGTAGCAGGAACTGCGCTTCAGTAACTGAGATTAGTTTAACCTTTAGTGTGTAAAATATCAATGACGCCGAGTTTCGTTTACTTTAACTTTAATTTACGAGAATTTTGGCGATCACCGACGTGTAACACTTCGAGAAGAAAGCTGCTCTCTGCAGCAATTGTTTGCTGATTGTATATCTCACCAGTTTGTACGAAGGCTTCTAGTCCAGCAGCACTATTGCACTGAATAGCGTTTTATGAAGGTTTTGCTATTAACAGGAAATCTATATGGTGCAAAGTGTGCGTCAATTTGTTCTCTCCAAACGGTTTTAAAACTTGTTTATTTGTATTATTATTACTTGTATTATTGTTGTAGTAAATTATTATGACTTGTATTATTATTTGTATTATTATTACTAGTATTATTTTTAAAATTTGTTAGCGTACTTTTCTATAAATGTAATTTTGTATTAAGTAAATGTTCGTTTTATAATCACTGTACTTAAATATTACATATTATGACCGATTTTACGCTATTACATATTTGTACTGTTTCATTATATATTTATGAACATATTTTACGTTTCACACTCCCTATTTTTCCGGTCTTTACTTATCAAACATATTTCATAATGCTCCTGAGGATAAAAGAGAAATCGTTTTTAATGACGCTATACGTCAGGAGCAGACTATCTCCTCTATTGAACTGTGATATACGTGCTTGTTTTTCAACTGCATTAAACCCGTCATGGGCGGTGAATAATGTCACATTGCGACAGGCAAAGATCAGACGTGGGCAGAACAGCAGACGCCCTACTCTTACAAAGTGAGCCAATAGAAGCTACGGAAAACCCAAATGATAGATCTTCCTAGTGGAATTTGACGCTAGTAATCTAGTTTTTGTATCATTTGAAGTATTTTAAGCAATTTACTTCTTTCCTCCTCTTCATAAACGTGGACGAGCAGCCACGGCTTCAATAAGTAGAATAAAGATATTGACTGAAGGATGTCGTTTCTTTCTTACTGTTCCTTTTCCAATCACCGTACCCATAGTAATATCTACATTTAATACGTGCAGAAATTTAATGCATCTAACCAGAGACTTGTGACCCCAAAAGGAATCGGAGGAAACGTTAATACTACACGCGCAACTTGTATTAAACGATGGAGTTGGTTACGCAATCAGCCACTAGATTGTATGAAGCAATACCGATCTTTGGAGAATCAATCATGATTTCTCAATAATTTGCGTTCTAACTTTCACAGGAGTTCGAGGTATCTTCTGTGATGAAACTTCACCTGCTTTCGTCATTTCTTTTCATTTTTTCGAGAAAATCACGGACATATGTTGTTGGCTTAAAAAGAAAATGGTTTCTATTTCACACCAGTGAAAATGGGTTTGGAATGTTGTCATCAATGCTCACTGTGAGCTTTTGCCTTCAACTGTTTATTGTGCCAGAGAGGAGGTAGCAAGGTCATCGTTCAAGGAAAGTTACGATGCTGGACTAAGGCAGCTGTGAGAAATGCACTTCTCAAACTCCCTGCATTTACCACTATCGTTTTTAATGAAATGGGGCATGATACCGGATTGAGGAATAAGAAATATTGTTTTATTCGTTCAATAATACTCTTGTATTAGATACAGTGAAGTTTTCCTTGCATAATAATTTTACACAAATATTATTAGAATTTTAAATTTATAAATACTGGTTCTTTTAACTCCAAAAAATTGCAAAAGCACGACTTTACTACACATACCTCATTGATTTTCTTTCAAGGTTAATGCAAAAAAGAATATACCCGTTTGAATTGATATACCCGTTACGCTTAAAGGTTAATTATGGTATCATAAAAACAGTCTTAAGTTTGACGACAGTTTCTTCTGCTATCACCACGTACTGAGATCAGCTATTTAGAAGAACCAATTCAAAAGAATGACGAATCGTTGAGCCACGTGTGCTAACTCCGCTGCTCCAGCCTCAAGCGCACGCCGTTCTCAGTTTTCAGGACGAGCTTCCAGGACATCACTGGCTCAAAATCCAAGTCCGGCAGGATGCGGAAGTTCCACACCACCTTAGCGATGATGCTCTTCAGTTCCAGCATGGCAAATCGTTGGCCTGGGGACAGAGATTTGTAATGTATTTCTGAAATTATGAAGGAAGAAAATTAGGAACGTACTCGTTTCGCGCACAAGATGATACATACAGACACTCATGTTTTACGCATACTTTGGTAACTTTTCTACAGAACAAACAGAGTTAAAGTGTCTGGAATTAGTAATATACATGGCGATTCTATATTATTCATACAAACGCAAACACACACGAACATTGATACAGAGTTCGAAAGGTTGGAAAATGCATTGGCCATAAGTTTGACGTGTGGTAAGGAAAAATTAAATGTCGACGTGTGTCCTCTTGGAAAAGTTCATATCGACAATTTCAATATTGAACCGGGAAGATATAATATCGTAAACCGGGAAGACTGCGCCCAACACGGTAACAGTCTAAGTTTTAAAACATTCAGTTTGTTTCTCCATGAATGCTTGCATATGTTGTAGGAGATGATGTGGTCTATGGTTTCACCTGTAGCATAATTAATGCCTCGTGAACATTGGACATTTTTGATAAATCTAAGAGTTGTGAAGTGACAAGTCGATATTGATAAGGAATTTTTGAAGATATCCTCAATCTAAGATGTATGATACCAAATTAATGATCATATTAATTTACTAATGACTATTACTAGTAATTCCCCCTATCTATATCGGAAAGCCTAAAAACATTAGGAAATGATGAGAGCAAGGTGTATAACTTTAAACGGAACCAGTAATATTTGCGTCTCCATCCGCAATTATAATCATTTTCCCTGGAAATCAAGGTTTATGAGATGCAAGAGGATCTAAAACGAGATTCCTTTCTTGAGTAACAATAATTTTAAATTATGCTAGAAAATTGTATGCCAACCAACAAACCATATTGCTATTAAAAATTCCACACAATATTCGTAATGATTTGTGACGACCAAAATATACTCGTTTGAAGAGATCTGTGTTCTTGAAAATATATTTGGGCGATGACAATGACCGTGAGAGACTTCCCCTTCTTTGCATCATTCACAGGGGCAGGAAAGGCGACGTCTGGAATCGCACCGGATTTCTTCTCGGAGAATACGTCGAAAAATTGTAAACTCTCTTGTTAACTTTTGCGTGTAGACGTTACGTTGCGCACTGACTTCACTGTTTGAAACCTTCCAGCATTTGCTTCATGCACAAGAGGCAAGCGCATGCTGTTTACGAATCAGAGAACTCTTATAATTCTTCTTTTCATTATCGAATTTCTGTGATATAGCGGTACACTAGATCTCATTAGTTACTATTTTTCACGAACCCTTACAATAAAAAAAAATTGAGGAAATGTATATCACGTCACTGAGTCACCTCACCTGTTCATTCTCTGGATAGATATTTCCATTCAAACAAATAGACGCGAAGATCAAGATAATCTAGAATGGTAAACCTATTTTGCTACATTTTTAAGAGTTACTTCTGGGTTCTAATCACATGTTCATAGAAACACATGCCTGAATTGCCTTCCTGTATTTCCGGTGAAATTTGCAATCTTCTCCATTACCTTTTAACTACGTATAATCTATGTAATGTTTTCAGACTGAAGTTCACATTTCTCCATGTGCCATACTCAGAGATCGGAGAATGTAAGAAAGCGTGTTCTGGAATGCTGTCCATAAAAACGCGTCAGCTCAGAAGGATCAGTAGTTGACAGAATGACATATCAAGCGAATGGAGGGCAGCGACTGTCTTTTTTAGAAACCATTCGCGGAATCATTCATGTTAATTTCTGGATTTGATGTTCTTTTGTTGGAAACACTTCGAACGTTCCGATGCACATGCTCTTAAACGGATAGCCAATTACACCTTGACCATGATGTTCGACGGGCTTACCAATGCAGTTGCGTGGCCCGGCGCTGAAGGGCAGGTAGGCGTACGGGTGACGTTTGGCACTCTCCTCTGTTGAGAAGCGTTCGGGGTCGAACCTCGTAGGAAATGGATACAGTGCTTCGTAGCGGTGTGTGCCAAAGACGTTCACCTCCGTCAATGAACCAGCTGGCAATACATGTCCGGCTGGAAGCAAATGGAGGGTAATTACATCGCTTGATTTCAATATAATTAGCACAGTTGAGTTGCATTACTTCAGTTTCTGAATCATAACAGTATACAAGTAAATATTACGATAGGACATACGTATTATTTAGACTGTTATTCTTATAAAAACGTTTGACTAAATTTCTCTTAAGAAACATCTTAAACGGAACCAGTAATATTTTTGTTAATACCTGCGTTTACAACATATTAAAAAGGAATATTTGGAATTGCTTTCGAAAAGCTTTTAATGTTAAGTTTTCGATAATTATTTAAAAACATACTCGACGGTAGTTTCTCGTCTTGGTTGGTGTCTCGATAAAATAGCGGAACAGGTGGGTATATTCGGAGAGACTCTTTGACTACCATTTCGAGGTATTTCAATTCCGAAATTTGTTGCATCGTTGGTTCTAGAGGCTGTGATCTGTCAAACACTGTCTTCAGTTCTTCTAAAACTTTTTCCTAAGGTAGGGAACCAAAACATAGTAAGGTTGGATGTTCTTTGAAAAACCTGTGTTCAATATTTTTTCAATTTCTTTACTCACCTGTACGTCTTGATGACGGGATAGTGCAAACATGGTAAACGATATTGCAGATGCTGTAGTATCATGGCCCTGAGAACGGAATTGGTTAATAAAAGAAACTTTAAAATGAACTCGCTTTTTATTAATGGCGCAGAAAGTGGTCCAACTGATGATGCAAGGACATGGGTGTGCTGCCTGCCACCCCCCTCCACACCTTATTTTTTTGTTCGTCTTTCGCACTACCAAATGCGTCCCGTACCAATTGACAACATCACGGTACCTTCGTTTGAAAACTTAGGCCAGATAATGGCAGCCTTACGGCATGGAAAACGAGCAGTGCCAATGAGAAACCTTTTGAAAATAACAAGAAATGTCAATTTTCAACGGTGACCAACCAAAAAAACACGGAGAAGGCATAGGTGAAATATGCAAAAAAAAAAAAAAAAGCTTCAATTTGTTTCGATGTTTTCTAGCAAGGTGATCGTTTTGCTATCTGGCTGGATTTAAAATTCCCGCTAATATCGTGACGCAAACTGGTGCTTGAAGCTCATTGGCTGAAATCGGGTAAGCTGCGCAACAGTACATCCATGTCTTTACATCATGATCCAACCGTGAGTGACAGACAGACGCAGTATACCCGATTAATATGCAGGAATATTACTAGTTTGATAATTTGGGAAGCTATTTTCTGTGGGTTTGATAACAGGATTTGTACTTCTGCAGGCCACTAGTAACAAAAAAAATCGTCATGCGCAAAACAGAAATCGTCAGAGAGCACTACTCATTCATAATGGTGGTTCTTAGGTGCGATTCATATTTTTTGGCTTTAAATTGCTCTATAATATATTAGTATTGCTGTCTGCGTCGACAAACATACGTTTTCTTTCTTAAAGGAGATCATAAGTCCATTGACAACATATTTCATGATCCAAGTAATATCATTTTAACTCTCAAGACTTCATTCAATATGATTCGGGCGTTGCATTAGTGTTTATTACTACAAAATCTTACCCACTACCGGTACGGCTCACGAGACCCAGCCTCAATCAACTGCCTAGGGATACGCTTACAGTTCTGAGTCATGAAGTGAAGTATAAGCCCAAATCTTACGCGTTAAGTTGGTCTTTACATATCCAACGTCATTTTTGTTACTCTGCACAATTTTTGTTACTCCTCACTCCTTGTTTTGTTACTCCTCACAAAAAGTTCATCAAGTCTTTACAAATGGGTCTAAGCTTATGAGGTCCTTACAAATAAGAATAAGCTCATCAGGTCCCTACAAATAGATCTAAGCTCATCAGAACCTTACAAATGGGACTAAGATCAAGATGTCCTTACAAATAGGACTAAACTCATTAGGTCCTTACAAATGGGACTAAGCAGAACAGGTCCTTACAAATGGGTATAAGCTCATCAGGTTCTTACAAATGGATCTAAGATGCCGAGAGGAACATCGATTTGATATTTGCTGTAGAAAATGTATCAAAAATGTATTTAGAAAGATAACTTGCCTCAAACATGAAAGTGTCCACCTCCTCGCGGATATCTGCGTCACAAAAGTTGCCGTTGCGGGCTTCTATCAGCAGCAGATCCAAGAACGCAACTCGGCGTCGTCTCCCTAATAAAAAAAATATTTCATATCTTCCTCGCCCATGATATCATGGAATTTTTACGTGGATGAAATAAACGTGGAAGGTTCAGTACTTTATGTATTCAAATGAAAAGAAGTGAAAGAAACCCGTTGCTATTGTGGTTTGCTGTGTCAATAAGAAGGTTTTATTGTATATTTCTTAGAAATTTACTTTTATTATATATTAATGTAAGACAATTCAATATATTGCGTATCTCATTGCGACTGCGAAGCAATCATGATCAACTGACTTTAAAATTATAATTGGCACTACAGTATAAATACTATTTTCAGAAAAATATATTACCACTAGTTAATTACGAATATAACCAAGAAAGTTATATTTTTGCCACTCACTTCTCACGTATTAGAAGGTGAGCAGTTTCTTACGGGGTTGATTATACGGAGCATTGATTGCCTCTCATTTTTCTTTCTATAGGAGATGTAGAAGCTAACGTTTTTAACTGATATGTTTCATAAAATTTAAAATATGCTGGAATTTTCATCTGAGTTTTATTGTGGCGGGATGTTATCTCCTAAATTTAGAATTCATATAAAAATTTTCTTTGGGATTGCTGTATTCACTTAAAACACAATATTAGTATTTGTTAATGAATTGGTGTTCAGTAAATTGATTTGAAGTTAATTTGTCCCGCGCTATATATTTCAATAATATTTTAAACTAGGTTAACTTTATGGAATTTTACTCACCAAGTTCATCAATGTCGAACGTAGCGTCTCCCAAGGTCTCACTTATTTTGAGAATTTCTTCTCTTCTATCTCGAATTACCTGCAACATAAGTCCTCCGTTAATTCGTTCGCATATTTGTTCGTTTGGACACCTCCAGTTTCTCGCGTTTGTGTATGACTTGCAAAACAATTTATTTTCAAAGGTAAGACTATTGCAGATGACTGTATGATATGTCGAAGTTCCAATCAAAAGTCGACGAGGATCTTTTGCAGGGTGATCTAGATAGACTATATTTCCAGACAAAAAACGAAGAACGTGGCAATAAATTGTACGAAAAGGAGCTGCAAATAGAAACTCAATGCCGTTTAGACCACAAAAATATTCCAACAGTTGTGTCTTCTAAGTAAATGGGAATAATTTTTGATAACAAATTGAGTTAGAAAACTTTGTCGTATGGAAAGCTAATGGTCTTTTCATTTGACTATGCGAATACTATAAAGGAGTACTACAAAAGCTAGAGATTTCCTTACTGATCTCTACTTCGTCCATTAATGAAATAAGAGGCCATTTGTTGGGTCCCTTATAGAAATTCACAAAAGGAATACTTGAATATAGTACAGAGCAGAGCATGTTAACTTATTTTCCGAAGCAATACGAAGAAAGTATAATGTGAGTCTTTAGAAACCGGAATGTTAAGGCAAGATCCTTGCCCTATAGAAAACGTATGCCGGTTATCCAGCTTGGAAAGGTATCTACATCCAACTTGACAGACCCACTTACTTTAGAAGAGGAAATCACAAACACAAAATTTAGTTCAGGTCACAGAAAACAGATGTTGGAAAATTTTCATTAACCAATAGAAATATAACGGACTGGAACAAGTTGCCTGCGAGAGCCATGGAATCCTTTCTTCTAGGAGTACAAAGATTTAAGTGTATTAGCTAACGTTATTTGTAAAGTTTATTAGTTAGTATGTTAGGCTTATTAAAATAGTTATTATTGTACTATTTTTGTTATTAGTATTGTGATAATAAACTTTAAATGCATTTGTTTATTATATATAAAATTATATTTAATGCAGTAGTAAAATTGGGGTGTCCTAACGCATTGTGAAGTGTAGTGCAAAAGACAAGAAAGAAAAGATATGAAGTGCAAGTGTGAAGAAATGAATGTGATGTGAAGTGATGTGAAGTGATGTGCAGCGATGTGCAGTGATGTGAAGTGAAGTGATATCAAGTGCTACTTTTTTTTAAAAAGTGTATTTATAAGTTAAAATGTCTTTGCAGGACTGTCATAAAATGTAGAGTTAATGCTATTATTGTTATTATTGTCTTTTATGTTATCGTAATATTATTGTTATTATTGTCTTAAAATAATTTAAAATTACATTGTATTAATATTCCTAATTGTAATATGTAAATTGTAGTGTCTTGCCACCAGGTTGTATTAACCCACCTTCAGAAATAATAAATCTATCAATCTGAAAATTAAGTGTGCACCTTAACAAAATCAAATTCCACGATTTTAATATCTATGAACCGTCTTGTTGAGGATAGGTTGCATTTTTTAAAACTTTAACTTAAGTGAATATCTATTAGATTCTTTTATTTTACCGTTATTTGACAAATAAATGACGTTATTTCTTTACAAAAACAATGTAAATATTCAAGTTTATTTCTTCTATGCTACGGAAACTTTTGGTTTCTTGAAACTAAATTCTTATAGGAACAAAATCCATATAGTTACATATATCGCAAGTTCCATAAAAGTTAAGTGCCTTTTTAATATTTGTAACACTCATGGAGGCTACAAAACTAACCCCAACTAAAGGCAGTTCATGAAATCAAATTCTCACTTTATCAGTAGTGCCATGTAGTACTTCCAGGCACTTCTTATATTTGCGGCCGATGGAAGACAAATAGAAAATGAAATCGATGTGCAGCCACGGTTGAATAATACGTTTCACAGTAATGTCTGATATCCTGCAACAGAAGAAAAATATTTGTATGTGCTTCAAACTATAAAAATATATGTATTGTTTAAGTGAAATTTTTCAGAGAATGATTATTTAACTTTATATCTCTTGCCACACAAATGTTGGGTTGAATCGTGTTTTTTGAGATATATTTCTAAGACTATTTTGACACAAACTAAAGTATATGAATTTTATTGCAACTATTGAAAAATTATTTAAACAATGTAAATTTAAAATTTATCAAAACATTGTTTCAAAACCTTTTGTCAAATATATTATTTGTTATTTTTCAATGGTTACCTATTTTCTGATTATGGTCAACGTTTCGGTGTGAAGGTCTCAGCAAACCTGGGACAATTCATTCCGGCTACACAATTTTCTAGAAGAAGAAATTTGTTACATGTCTTTAGAAAAAATAATTATTCTTTTTTTCTGTAATAGGGGCCTATAATACGCATTTCTGCGGTAAAATCGCCGTTTTTCGCTGCAGCATTACATGATTTTCTCTACACTACGTCTGTTCGGTCCCACATAGAAATATTGCATAAGGAATCGATCACCACGCAAGGCAAGTGATCAGTGTTGCGTAGGCCAGAGAGTATATATCAGAGACGGCAGTCAATGTTAAACGGAAAGCCCTTATTTTCGTGGAGGGGAGAATTGAATCTTCCCCCCAAAGATAACAACGATGGAGATTAAAGAGGCTAGCCATATTTGACCCCCGCTAGCAATAAGCGTCGAAGGCAGGTAAACCAATGAAAGGAGACGGACGTGACGGGCTACTTTGAAATTACAATTTTTAGTAAATTTTCAAATATGGCGGGACATAGTTATTATTATGAAATGTATTGAACATAAAAATGAATGCTAAGGGTAATGTAGAAGTCATATATTTTAAAGAGCATGTAATATGTGAGGAAGTGAAGTAAATTGTAATAGATGAAGTAAAATTAAAAAAGATAATTTACATAAATAATATTTATTTTTAAATTGTGACATATACAAAAAATAACAATGTGCATGAAAAAATCTGTTATGTGAAACAAGGAACAAATCATGCAATATAGATTTGTGATACTCTCATTACTAAATATCACTGCTTGGAAACAAACAAAAATAATAATAAATTTGTCAAAATAAACATACGCCCATTAGACAAGTCAGTATAGAATTAATATATACATATATGAGCATAACAATACACAATGAATATTTAAAAATGAATAGTAGAATAAATAAATTAAATTTAAAATTCAATTTCTGTAATTTTAAATAAATAGTCATGGAAATAGGTAAATATTTAATACATGGTAGTGTAAGAAAGATTAATTTAAATATTCAATATAATAAAGAAATTCCTCATAGAGTTCGTTGCCTAGGGCTGGTCATTCCTTTATATCCAACTACCAGTTTGAGGGGGTTTTGAAAAGTGGCACGAAAAATGCAAAATATATTATATAGTTATATTTATTATGGTAATACTGTAGTATAAATAAATATAAAATACAATAAACATACTTAAAATAACGATTCCTAAAACTATCCAAAATAGTCATTTGCATTTGTGAAATGTTCAGAAAGTAATATAAATTTCCTGTAACTAATCCCAAACTGTTTTCCAATAGCTATGTATATAGTAGCTAGAGAAACATGTAGAAAATAGGTAATATTAATATTACAGCATAAATGAGACAGTTATCTGCAAAATGATATTTTTTCATTATATAAAACAAAAACACATCTTCATTTGACAATATCTGTGTAGAAGTGACGTCACAAGTTGATCATACGTATGTTTTGATTTATTTACGATGCACGACCAAAATTTCTCTATTCTTTTGATTAATGAAATATTGGAGTCCTGCAGTTTGGACGTATTCAAAATTAGTATTAGATGCACAAGAAAAACCATCCAGAATGTGTTAGAGAATGAAGCAGATATTTAGTCATACATAAGAATCAGTTATCTTTGTGCTTATATACATGCATAATTCTGTGTAAAATATTGTTATATAAAGGTTTAATGAAAGTAAATTACCTTGATCTTTCAAAATTCGGGTATTATTGCTGTGCTTTTATTCAGTTACATCCATTACTTAACTACATTTTCATTCCTCATTTAAAATATACTTATATAAATATTAAATATTGTTTTTAGGGATGACATTGGGAAGTAATCGTAACACGCTGAAAACTACTAACTACTACTATTATATGTTTCACTTTCAATCAATTTTTGCACAGCAATACAAGAGTTACCAAATTTTGATGGTATACTATTTCATGTTCATCGTGTATATTTCCTCATATATGCAACATAAGCAAGCACACATTTTCTAGAACATAGCCACATTGAAGAGGTAGCTG